GACCACAATCCCGGTAGGGTTCCCTACGGATCCGGTCCGTCCACCATCTCCCAGGATATCTAGTCAGGCTAAACACATTATACAATTTTCATTCACATAATCTTTCATTCGCCTTTTTCCTCAGTCAGCATTATCAATCACATACAAACAAGCAAAACGATAATTTATGCCAAACAGACAACATATAGTATCAATATCCCGATCATTCAATCCATAATCAATAAAACAGTAAAATATGCACACGAAACTATAAAATGAAAACATCGAACCTCATGCTGCATTTAAAACTGTAAAACAGGCCAAATAACAGTTAATCGACAAACACACTAGACTCGGGCTCCATTAGCGACCTTAAGCAATTTCACACATTCGTTGATTCATGAAAAACCGTTTTATCATTTATTGGACTTTAAAACCGTGATAGGAAATAGAGTGAGGGGTCCTTACTCGTTTCGGGGTCCGAACACGGCTTCACAGTGCGCTTGCAGGCTGTCCCTACTTTTCCCTGAATTTTCCTCGGGGAACTGAAACGCACTACTAGTACCTGCACGTTTTCCAAAAAAAACCCAAATTAGGCCCAGGGCCTCAATCGGCCCAAATCGCAACTCCGGCACGGCGGCTCCGCCGTGCTCCGGCGACGGCGCCGCCAGTCGCCTCGGGTTGGCTGTTTTCGGCCGAATTCGGCCACACTCGCATCGGTCCCTGTGAGAAAACAACCCTAGGGCCCTCGGGGGGCCAAAAAATCACGGAAAAACGGAGCTTACCGACGGCGGCGCTCTCGGGTGCGGCGGCTCTCCGGCGAGGTTCGTGTTTTGGTGATTCGGCTCCGGTCAACCTGTAGAGAAAAGAATGGTGATCACGGTGATATAAAAATTGCATCAAACGGAGGCCGGGAAGGGCCTCATCGGAGGCAAAAACCGAGAAGGGGCGCGGCGGCGCCGCTGGGCTTCGGCCGTGTATTCCTGCCGTTTGGCCGGGATTTTGGCTCCGATTTGGCCACAGGAGGAATCAGCGTGGAAAAACGAGTCGGGGGTACGAAATTTACCTCGATCGGCGGTCGGAAGTTCCTCCGGTGCGGCGGCGGGTGGCGGCGGCCGGCTTCTAGTTCGTCTTCTTCGGCGAGCGGCAGGCGGCTAGGGTTTGTGGTCTGGTGTGGGGGTTCTATTTATAACCCCTTGCCCTTTGATCTCAGCCGTCCATTTTGTTTTAATCTGGGCCGTCCGTTTTTGATTAAATCTGAGCCGTCCGTGCGATTAAATCTGGACCGTCCGATCGCCCGCTTGATCTGGGCCGTCCGATCGCGCCCACGCGGATCGCCAACGTGGCCCTTTTTGGAACGACGTGGTATTGCCACGTGGCAAGTCCTGGTTGGCCGGGACTGCTGACCGGGCCTACTGACGTGGCTGCTGACGTGGCTTTTTTTTATTTTTTTTTTATTTTTTTTATTTTTATTTTTATTTT